TGCCTATTTCTCGTTGTTCGCTTTGTGTTGCCGCAGTATTCGCCACAGTAAAATACATGTAAGGCGAAGAAATCAGCTGATTAAACAACACCACCTTGTATAAATTCGCCTTGGTTTGAATTGCTGACTACAAAATAGCAAAAGTAACACTTTTATGCTTTTTAAAGCAAGCAGGTCTTGGTCCTTCTAAAACTATTATTAAATATCATTAAATGTCGTTGTACGATCGGCTGTACAATGCGTTTATTAAATGTCACAAGGATTCCTTGTCAATGCAGACAATACAGAAAAAAGACGAATGAATTTTGGGTGCCTTTGAGAGATGAGTACAAAAACAACCCAAAGGAGCTGGAGCGTCTCACACAGTTAAAAATCGAAGAACTTTGTCAGATTGCGACTAAGAAAAATGCTCGTCTCCTCAATTTCTTCGTAAAGGTGAATATTCTGAGCGTATTTTGTTGAATGTTTTAAATGATTTATATTATTTGAATGTTTGAACATTGGTGATGTGTGTCTCTTTTTTGTATTTGGTGAATGTAGCTACCTGCACGAAAAGCTTCAACCACGCAAGGTGATCTCAAAATGCTTCCCAGCACCGAAGATGTCAATAATAACACTACAGAGTCGGTTTCTATATCTCGGAAAGGTATAACCAACCGCTTTCTGCTCTGCCAATGTCGATGTATATTTTTTCTCTAACTTTCGTAGCTTAGATTTTGATTTTTTCATTTTATGGGTAGTGATATAATACTGGTTACATTATTTTTCTAGCCTACAGTAGCAATGAACTTTCCGTTCAATCTTCTGTTTAAATACCTTCTTCATCTGTATCTACAACAGCTCCGACACCAAAACAGAATGCTTTAAAATCTGAAATTTCAGTACTTGAAGCCGAATTAAATGCTACCGTAAGAAAGCGAGATGCAGGACTTGGAAAAGACGGGATTGAGAAGGAAATAAAAAAATTAAGGCATGATACTGATTTGAAGAAAAAAGAGTTAAAGAACAAAATAGTACGTGCAGAAAACATGCGAAAATTTAGGGCAAAGCAAAAAACCGAAGTTTTGAGCCTGAAATCCGCTCATCCCAACGTGCAATCTTCGCTCATCCCAACGTGCAATCTTCGTCTATACGTCTCCCCATCTATTAAAGCCGACATCACCGGAAGGACGTGCTCAATTTGTGGACTTTATTTTGCCTCAAAAATTTCTATGAACAACCATCGAAAAAACGTGCATGGTGGTGCGGTGGATGACGTGTCTCGCGTGCGACCTCTGCGGGTTCTCTCTAGGAGACCACAGGAGGCCTTGTGTGTCATAAAGGAAAGCGTGGAGTGGATAGATGTCGAGGCTGTCAATGAAGAGATAATAATCACGTCTGAGGAAACTCCCGATGTTACCGCCCCCGTGATCTACGATGTATCCGAGTGGATTGATGCTGGGAAGGTGTTTGTTGAAGATGATTGAGATGGAAAATAAAGGTTAATAAAAATAACGGGACATTTGTTTCTATAATTTAAGTACTGCTTAAGATATATTTTGACATTTTATCTTGATAATATTTTTTCCACTTGTAATTATAGGTATGAAAGCACTCCTGCCGTCACGCAGCAAGCGCCGTGTTAATAGAGACAATTATAAGCCAAATATATATTTTTTTCAACTTTTTGTTAGCAAGAAATGATTCAAAACCATATTTATGAATTACTACGTGAAAACTGTAGGGGGAAGGGGGGGGGGGGGGGGGGG